CACTGGGGCTGCCCTGCTTTCACTCTTCAAAAGTATCATAAAAAAACTAAGAAAAGCTAACAAATTTTATCAGATTAAAGGAGACAAAAGAGGCAGGACAAAGAAATGCAACATGTGAACCTGGATTGGATCCTAGATTGGAAAAAAAGATTGTTATAAAGAATAATTATTTATTAAGATAAATGGTAAAATTTAAACATAAACTATACATCAGAATAGAATTGCATCAACATTATATTTTCTGATTTGATCATTTTAGCATATATATATATAAAAGAATGTCCTTAGAAATATATTCTATATCATGTCTGCAATTTACTCTCAGATTGTCCAAAAACAACAAATAATAAGAATTATAGCTGTCTTTGTATCTGGATACCAATCTTTCTCCACTTACAATGGGGTTCCATCCTGATAAACCCATGATGAATTGAAAATATCATTAACTGAAATTGCATTTAATACACTTAACCTACTGAACATCATAACTTAGCCTACCTTAAACATGCTCAGAACACTACCATTAATTAACCTAGAGTTGGTCAAAATCATATAACAAAGCCTATCTAATAATAAAGTTTTGAATATTTCATGTAATGTATTGAATACTGAAAATGAAAAATCAAATGGCTGTATGAGTGCATAATAGAAGTAAATGTATCAGAGAAAGGAACCTCTCCTCAGAGAAAGAGATGAGAGTCCAGCCAGGGCTCTTCATCTCAGAACAAGGAGGCCAGGGCAAAGGGAGAAGAAGCATGAGGCAAAGACAGAATGCCTAAAAGCCCCATGACTCTGGAATCCTGGCTTTCCAGAACCTTCCTAGACTACCAAACTATCCAGGATAAAAATCAAGGATATTTTTAAAAGGAAACCATGGTATAAATAAGGAGAAACTATGTGACTTAATAGATTTGTGTAGCTTTAGAAAATTCCACAATTAGTCATTCAGTGAATTGACTAGAAACCTTGGTTGACAGGACGCCTACCCTGCCCAGAGAGACAAAGTGTAATAAGGAGTGACCTAGAGATCCAACCCCAGAGTCCAGGAAGGATGCCCCTTCAATGAAGTTCCCCTGTCTACCCAGAGCAAGCTCTGTAGTCAGAGAAACTGATGGTCAGGGACTTGGAGACCCAGTAATGCCTCCAGCTATGCCTGCAACCCTGCTTTTCATGGATCTGCTGTACTGCTCTGCTGTCACATTGTGCTATAGCAGTGTCTTGCACATAGCAGGAACTCAAACTCTGAACAAATGAATGAATGAATCCTAAGATTAAAAGGCAGAAGACGAGAACAGCTAGTAAAGGTTAGAACAAAGGAAAAAAGGGCGACGCAAAAAGAGGAACAGGAAGCTACAGCAAAGTGGCAAAGAAGCTACTGTGGCAAATGGGGTAGAATGAGAAGAACTGAGCAGAAAAGAAAGACCACTGTGCATACAAGTAAGTTAAGGGAGTTAGGTATAATGACAATAGTTATACCTAACTAATACTATACCTACAGGTGACACAAATTATACCTTATTCCCTTGTTATACCAGTGTAATATAAATTTTAGAAATTTACAAAATTACAAAAATCCTTTTCTGAAAGGCAAACGTTGATACCAAAATCAGACATTACAAGAAATGGAAACTATACATCAGTATCACTCATGAAAAGAAAAACAATATCCTTGACAAAGCATCAGCAAACCAAATCAAGCAATTTATAAAAAGGATCATACACCTTGACTAAGTAGGTTTCTCCTAGAAATGCAAGGGTAGTTCAACATTTGAAAAATAAAATTAAAAAACCCCATTTGGCCATCTCAATAGATGCAGAAAAGATATTAAATAAAATTTGACATTCACTCATGATTAAAATTCTCCACAAACCCAGGAACTTCTTCAACCCGATAAAATACATCTACAAAAAAAGCTAACATGATACTTAACTGTGAAAGATAATCCTTTATCCCTGGGGTTTGTCATGAGCAAAGATCTTTGCTTTCACCTCTCCTTTAAATACAGTACTGGAGTTCCCAGTCAGTGCAATCAGGCAAGCAAAAGAATAAAAGGCATACACATTGGAAACAATTATGCTGAGTAAGATAATCTAGCTTAAAAAAAGAATATATACTGTATGATTCTACTTATATAAGATTCTAGAAAATGCAAATTAAACTGCAGGATCAGTGGTTACTTAAGTAGTGGTTGGAGAAAGGATTCTAAAGGAGCACAGGAAAACAGGATGAGAGAGATATTTATTATCCTCTTTACAGTAGTATTTTCGCAGGTCTGTACACTATACATCCATATCAACTACACACTTTAAATTCATGTCTTATTAACTGTACCTCAATAAAGCTGAAAAAAGGAGGACTTGGAAGAAATATCAAGCTAATAAAGTTTTAAGAAGTTTTAAGAGACGTGGGTGGCTCAGTGGTTGAGTGTCTGCCTTGGGCTCAGGTCATGATCCTGGGGTCCTGGGATCGAGTCCTGCATCGGGCTCCCCACAGAGAGCCTGCTTCTCCCTCTGCCTATGTCTCTGCCTCTCTCATGAATGAATGAATGAATAAATGAATACATAAATAAATAAATCTTTTTTTTAAAGAAGGGTGAAATACATGAATTGTGCTTACCTTTGAAGAGAATATAGATCTCTATGCACACTGAAAAGAGAGCCACAATGTGTGAATAGAAAAGTGTGATGTTAAGCTTGCTGGATTTAGCAGAAATCAAAATATAAGACTCCCAGTTAAATTTGAATTTCAGATAATGAATTATTGTTTAATATAAATATATCCTAAATATTGCATGCAGCATCCTGTAGTAAAGAAATTTGCTGTTTATTGTTTATCTGAAATTCAAATGTAACCAATCTTGTATTTCATCTGGCCATCCTAGACATTGGCTTATGTATATATGAAATCAAGCCTCTAAAAAAGGCAGCCGCTTGAAGTCTGTGTTTATCCTGACATAGAGGAAGCTGCTGAACTGCTGTACTCTATTTCTTTTTTTTTTTTAAGATTTTATTTATTTATTCATGATAGTCACACAGAGAGAGACAGAGAGGCAGAGACACAGGCAGAGGGAGAAGCAGGCTCCATGCAGAGAGCCCAACGTGGGATTCGACCCCGGGTCTCCAGGATCGCGCCCCGGGCCAAAGGCAGGTGCCAAACCACTGCGCCACCCAGGGATCCCTGAACTGCTGTACTCTAGACAATGGACATATGTTCAATGTCCAGCACAGTACTGTACTTATTCACAGTAGGTCCTCAGATTTTTTGTTTGTTTGTTTGTTTTTTGGCTCTGCAAGCTGAATGAAGATAGAGACTGAATCTAACTCTACTTGTAATACAATGCCTTGTGCTCAATGGATATATGATTAAGTGAACAACTGCCTCTTATGCTCCAAAAAATGCAGGGTTGACCTTTTAACTCCAGCCCTTGTGACTGGATGCTCAACCTTTTAGGCCCCAGTTCTGATTTCTCAGTGTCTCCCACCTTTTCAGTGTCTCCACTTTTGCCGTAGGTGTCTCGGGTTGCTGTTTTGTTTTCTAGTACCTTGTGTGTGACTGACCTATCCTTATACAATGCTTATAATTTTCTTGTTTTTCTCTTTGGAATCTGGGTGACTGCTCTGACACTCAAACCTTCAGCCTTTGGGGGAAATCTCAAAGTCTGAAACGCAACAGCTAGGACTGCTTAATGAAATATTGGGCATGTTCCCTTTAAAGTTAAGGAGATTTGGAGTAGAGCTTCAGTTTTTGGGGAGAAGATCAGGATAAAAGGGAATCTTTTGAATCTTTTTTTTTTAAGATTTTATTTTTTCATGAAAGACACAGAAAGAGAGTGGCAGGGACATAGACAGGGAGAGAAGCAGGCTCTATGCAGGGAGCCCGATGCGGAACTTGATCCTGGAACTCCAGGATCACACCCTGAGCCAAAGGGAGATGCTCAACCGCTGAGCCACCCAGGCATCCCCAAAGGGAATCTTTATATATACTGGTGGTGGGTAGGATTTTATACATTTGGGATTTTTATTATCTGTCCTGTAAATACCTGAAGTACAAAATGCATCCAAACTCTAAATGCATTACTTCCCTCCCATAAAATTAAGAACTTAATATTATTTTCTGCAGATTGCTCCCACAAATAAGCAGAGATTATAGAAGTTATTTCTAGGAAGAGAATGATAGTGTGGAGAAAAATGTTTCATGCTTAGAAGATACTAGAATCCAAGAATAATTAGGTATAATGTATGCGTTTAGTATAACTACTCGTTTTGCAGATGAGTATGAGACCCAGGCAGCCTCCCAAGTTCACAGTGCATGACTGAAGCGAATAAAAAAGGTACCACTCAGTAAAACTTAGTTCTCTTATTCTTTTATTTCTATAACCCATTTTCCCTAGTTTTTAGGAGTCGGGAGAGGGGTGGGGGTTGCTGGATGGAATAGTAACAAAATCAAGCACATTGTGCTACTCTCCTTGACATGCCAACTATTGTTCTTGGGTTTTTTTTTTTGTTTTTTTTTTTTACCCTAGTTTCCTGTACCCCTTCATAGGTGTGTTTTGGACCGATTCACTCTTCTATGGTTATATTTTTGTCTTAGGTTAAAAATTAAGTACAGGCTACTGTGGTTTTGAGATGCATCAGATCACTCACTGGTTTATTTCTGCGCCAAAAGAAATTTTAGGAAGTGGACGGGAGAAGGTGGCAGAGATTTCTAAATGGACAACCTGTCCCTGGCTTTTGCCTTAGATGCAAATGTCTTCGATAGTTTTAAGTTGTTATGAGGGAGATATAACCTAAATGCTTCCATACAAGCACAGTTGCTTTGGAGGAGGAGAAAGAGGTACGAAGAAAGGGAATATCATGTTTTGTAAATGGGGGGGGGGGTTCTGCAGGAATTCATAAAATATTAAGTTTCCCCACAAGATTGATTAGAAGAGCGAATCCTCCTCTATCAATTGCCGACGCAAATGAGTTCAAGGAAAATGCAAACGAGTGGAGGTACTTACCCCTCTCCTAAGGGAAGATGAGATGGTATGACGGTAGCTCGTACCGTGCAAAATGTTTTGAGGGTGCCGGTTGAGAGGCGGTCCGCGTACAGGACCCGGCAGCACTTGCTTTTATTGGCGAGGTGACGCCAGCCCTGTCCCTGCAGCTCTGGCTCTGCATCCCGACGTGGCGGCTTCGCCTGTTGCAGGTGGAGGAGCTGCCTGGGAGAGGGGAGCTGGGGCGCAGCTCCGCAGGAGGAGCCGTGCGGGGTCCGTGCTGCCCCCAGGCTTCATGGCAGCGAGCGTGAAAGGTTCGTGCGCAGCACAGCTTAGGGGGCCTTTCTGACGCAGGACGAAGCGGAAGGACACCGGGCACACAGTCGCGGGGCAGGCACGCGATTCGGTGCAGCGTCGCCCGGTTGGGGCGGGACGGCGGGGAGCGAGAGGAGCCGGCTCCGCCGGCGCCCGGGCAGCGCGTGCAATGCTTCCTCCCGGCCGCCAGGGGCCGCTCCCGCCCGCCGCCGCCCCCGCAGCCCCCCACCGCCCCGCTCCCCGCCCCGCCCCCCGCCTCCGCCTCCGCCGCCGCCGCCGCCGCCGCCGCGGGTGGGAGCGCGAGAGCGCCGGCCGCGCGCGTGCGCCGTGCGTGCCTCGGTGCAGCCCGTCTGCGTGCGTGAGTGGGAGGCGGCAGGCTCGGCGTCTGGCCTTCTCCGCCGCCGGCCCCCGCGCGACGCCCCCAGCCATGAACCGGTTTGGTACCCGGTTGGTGGGAGCTACGGCCACCCCGCCGCCGCCGCCGCCGCCAAAAGCCCGCAGCAATGAAAACCTGGACAAAATCGATATGTCTCTGGGTACGGAGCCGAGTGGGACCGAGCTGGGGGGGGCGAGCGCCGCGGGCCGTGGGGGCAGGGGCGGTTGGCGGCGGGGGTGCGTGGGGGCCCGGGGGCGGGGCGGGGCGGCGGCCGGGGGCGCCCCCTCTCCTTCCTCCCCCTCCCCCCCCCGCGGGCCGCCCCGGCTCTTTGTGAGGCGCAGGCGGCGGGCTCCGCTCCCAGCGTGGTCGCCGGGGCGTGTGTGGAGGCCCCGCCGCCCCGGGCCCCGAGGTCGGCGAAGCGGCAGGAGAGGCGGACGCGCGACCGCGGGACGCCGGGCCAAGCGCGAGGTGGGGGCGGCCGGGCGGGGACCCCGTGAGGAGCGGGACGGCGCGGCTCCCCTCACGGCCCGCAGCCGCCCGGAAAGCCCGTCGCTTGGGCGTCGCGATGCGGGTCGCGGCCCTCAGAGGCGGTCCTGCGCGCGCTGTGGCCCGTGGTGCTGCGGGCCGGTGTTGGAGGAGCCCCGACGGGCGCCCGCGGAGCTTCGCGTGTGCGCGGCTCCTCCGCCAAGGGGTCAGTCAAGGGTCAAGGACTCCCGGGGCCGCGAACTGAGCAAATGCTCTGGACGAAGGCGTTGGGCCTCCAGCCTTGTCTTCCTGCTGCTGCTGGTGGCGGTGGTGGTCCGGGTGGCCCAGCGGTTAGCGCCGCCTTCGGCCCGGGGCGGGACCCTGGAGACCCGGAATCGGGTCCCGCGTCGGGCTCCCTGCACGGAGCCTGCCGTTCCCTCTGCCTGTGTCTCTGCCTCTCTCTCTGGGTATGTCTCTCATGAATAAATAAAATCTTAAAAACAAAAAACAAAAACAAAAAACAAACAAACAAAAAAAAACACCAGGGAGTCTCCTCAGCTAAGGCCAAGGAGACTTAAGAAGGAACGTGCGCTGAGCGCTTACGACCTGGCGGGCACCAAGCCCAGGACGTGTGCTGCCGCGGCCCAGCCTCCTGGTAACTGCGGTACGTGCTCCTCGCGATCAGAGCCTGGAATCCCGAGCCACACTGCCCTCAGGTCGGATCCTTTGCCCCTTACTGGCCGCGTGGTCACAGGCGAATTATTTCTCAGCGCTTCATGACCCACAGTCACAGCGCTCACCTGCCTCGGACAGGTGCTGCCGTGAGTCCACAGGCGTGCATAGCTGCGTAGGAAAGCGCCCGGTAGACCTAGAAGGAAGCATCGTATTTCCATGAGCACACTATAGAAGCTATGGTGGTGGTTCCTGTTGTACAAAACCTGAGACAGAAAGAACTTGGCCCAAATCATACAAGTAAAAAAAAACAAAACAAAACAAAACAAAAAACTGTAGGTGTTGCCGGAAGTGTCAAACGTGTATTAATCATAGCCAAGACCTTTCTTAAGTTTCTAGGGTTTTTTCTATGTATTTTGTTTAGTGGTTAGGATGTTCAAGTGAAGAAAATGGAGGGATAATTCTCTTTGAAGGCAGAAATGAAATGCTATGGTAGTTAAGATAGACCCTGTTTTCTTTTCTCTCCTCGGAGAATATACAGCATTCTTTGAAGTCCCCCCCCCTTTTTTTTTTAGGATTTACAGAAATGGTACCTATTTTTTCCCCAATGTTTTTTTAGTAGTCTGTACACCCGACCTGCAGCTTGAACTGATAACCACCCTGAGATGGAGAGTTTTTTTTTTTTAATTTTTTTTTAATTTATTTATGATAGTCACAGAGAGAGAGAGAGAGAGAGGCAGAGACACAGGCAGAGGGAGAAGCAGGCTCCATGCAGGGAGCCCGACGTGGGATTCGATCCTGGGTCTCCAGGATCGTGCCCTGGGCCAAAGGCAGGCGCCAAACCCCTGCGCCACCCAGGGATCCCTTTTTTTTTTTTTTTTTTTTTTTTTTATGATGGAGTCTTAACGCTCTTCCGACTGAGTCAGCCCGGCACCCTAAGATGATGCCTGTTTTAAACAATTATTATGCTTTGTGAATAGTCCGTTTTATCAGGTCTGCAGAGGTTTAGAATCTGATTTTTGACAGTATGATTTATATGAATGTTAATATAGAATATCTACCAGTTATCAAGATCTGGTCTCATTGTGGCTCAGTTTCTTTTTCTTTTTCCTTTTTTTAAAAATTTTTTTATTTTAGCCATTCTGACAGGTGTGATGTGACCCAGTTTCTTAATTTGAAAATGGGCATTATACTATCTTACAGAATTGTTGTGAGAATTAAATGAACACTTGTGAGAATAAGGTTTCTCAGTTACTACTGTTTATATTGCCATATATATACCCCTAATGTCATGGAAGAAACTTTTTCATAAAAGTAGCTCATCATAATGGAATTTTTTTTTCCAATTTACATACCCTACCTCACTGAGTAGGAGAAAGCCATTTTCTTCTTTTAGATTGGAAAAATCCACAGCTGATCATTTAACTTGAGGATTTAGATAATAACACATTTAAAAATAAAGCAAATTTATATTTTATACGCTTTGCTATTTTTAATTTTGTTATGGTTATCCCTTATAATGCTTTATTTTAAAATTGACCTGGTTAGTCAAAATTACAGTCTGTTTTTTTAATGGTCCCCAGAAAATTTATTATTTTTTTTGTGTACTCTCATGGCTCTGAGATTTCAGACTTCTGGTGAAGAATAAGAAAAAAAAATGTTAAAGTAGTGTTTCTTTTTTTTTTTTTTAAGATTTTATTTATTTATTCATGAGAGACACACACACACAGAGCGAGAGAGTTAGAGACACAGGCAGAAGGAGAAGCAGGCTACATGCAGGGAGTCTGACTGGGACTCGATCCCAGGTCCCCAGGATCAGGCCCTGGACTGAAGGCAGCACTAAACCACTGAGCCACCTGGGCTGCCCCAAAAGTAGTGTTTCAAGAGTGTTCAAAAATATTCCCTTTCTGCCCCCTGAGAATTTAACATGTTCATGCATCTGATTTCATGAAATATTTTTATTTAAAGGCAAAGTTTTTGAGTGTCTTTGACTTGGATGTATTTATGTATAGTTGAAGGACTGACCTCAAGAAGATAAAGTACTTTGGGGATATTTGAATTATTTTAATGAATATTTGTGATTAAGAGTCTTAAAAATTACCGATGGGTTAGGTAGAGTAGTAATATGTAAGGAAAGATTCCTATAATATATAATTCTCTTTTATTTCAGAAAAGACTAATTATATTAATATAGTTGTTAGATTCTTGTGTTTAGAGCAATTTGGAAAATATAATTAAGTTAATTAGTTTTGTGAGATTTTATTAAGTTGACCAGTTTATTTGCTTTATCAATCATCAAAATTAATATTGAAGTTGGGATGTGGACGAAGTATTTGGCTATTTCTTAGATGAATATTTTTTTGGTTTCTAGTAATCTTTTGACATTTGTAAATAGAAATCTGGAGTAGGTTTAGTTTTTTGATTTTCACATTGTTGTGCTGTGGTATTAGGGCAATGTGATGTTTGTAAATTACTTTGGGAGAGTTTAAAAGTGTTGAAAACAATGAGTATAGAAGGCAAAAAGTAAGGTAGCTCTGAATATTCTGCTAGAAAAGTGAAGAACCCAATTCTTTTCTTTTTATGCTATATCTTTATTATGTGCTTTTTATTTCATAGCTGCTATTTACTTGTTTCCATCAATGATTTTAAACTTACCTGAGAATAAGGACCATACTCTACTTTTGTTTGTTTTCATTACAGCATAACCTGCCACATACATTCATTGCACACAGCATATGCTCAATAAATATTTACCGAATTGAAATGAACTTCTTTAGAAATGTACTCTTTTAGTTAAATGATTTATTATTATTTTTTTTACTGCCTATGGTTTCATTGGAAGGTGGTCATCTTTAAAAACTGGACACTTCTGTGATTATGGGAAGTAGATATGAGTAATTTTTGTAAATAGGCTTTTGCTTATTTATATGCATTAAAGAAATATGGTGGATAACAGAAATAGAAATCTTCATTAATTGGTAGATTTGCTTTGAGCTCTTGATTTGAACTTTTCCTATAAAACCTTTCTTTAATGCTGAAAGTATATTATTGGCTGATTCGAATTTTTATCTTATTATCCTCTTACTAAAGTGCTTTCAAAGTAGCAAAGAAGTTAGGGATGTAAGAAATCTGTCAACTAGAAAATGAGGCTGAGTAATTAATTGAGTTATTAAGTTAAAATGAAAATAATCACATTTTGTATATCACAGATGATATCATCAAATTGAATAGAAAGGAAGGAAAGAAGCAGAATTTTCCGAGACTAAATAGAAAACTCCAGCAAAGCAGTGCCCGGCAATTCAGGATGAGAGTGCGATGGGGAATCCAACAGAATTCTGGTAATTTTTACAAGTAAACTTAAGAAAGAGCTATTATTTGTAGATTCATAGTATGCTATGTTTAGTACATACTTAAAATATGGAAGAAATATATTAGTACCCTTTGTGATTTGTATTTTCTCAGATTTTTGTTTAATCTTGAAATCTGGTAAGCATTTTCAGTTGCTTTAATTAGGTGATAA